AACGTCTCCGTTCCCTCCTTCAGGGAACGAGGGTTGCATACATAACCGAGACGGTTCTTTATGAGGTTACCTGGTGACTGGAAAGCAGTTTTATCAAATGCAACTGTAATAAGAGAAAATACACATATACACTGACAATCAGTGTAAAACAAATACATATAATTATCATTACAAATAATAAAAACAAAATACTATTACATATGGTTACCTGTGAGGCATACTAGAGAAACACAAACACTTGTAATAATGCTAGTCATCTTTGCTTTTAGTGACAGTGCTGTGAATTAAATGCAGGAAGGCACTTCTAGCAGAAAATTATATCATCTCTGGGGGCACTGACAATAAATTAGTGAGTTATAGAATTTGCAGTGCTGTTCAGATTTAGCATTACTGAAGAAAGGGCTCCCTCTACTGTTCTGGGATGATGAGTATAAAACTTGTGTATTAATTTGATTGACTGCATGTGGTCAAAATGTGGTAGGATATTTCTGTTCTCACATGAGATTCCTCAGACATTCTTAGAAACTGCTGTACATGTACAGTATATATAAAATCATCATTTATAGTCATTTAACAAGACTATACAGGGCAACATGATCTCACCTCAATATTGGCAGCAAATCAAACCCTGAGCCCTTCGCAGGTGAGGCAGAGCTGATGCGGAAGCACAGACTAGAGAGATTTTGTATTAAGGTTTCATTGTCTATTTCACTGTGTAATATGCTGCACAGAAATACACTGCGCTGTCTTGTGGTGTGAGGTTGTTGATAGTCAGAGTGCCATTTCTCTTTGCATCTCCCTCCAATTTGATCTTGTTTGTAAATTCAGGCTCTATATTCTCATCACCATAAAGGTATCCCATCAACTTGAGTCCAGGCATGTCCTGACCCTGTTTGTACCACAGCATTTGGTTGTAGTTCTGTATATTGTGAGAACAGACGATAACAGCCCGTTCATTTTGGTTCTTTATGAGGTCATCAGGACTCTGTAGAACAGTTTTTGCATGGTTTGCCACTGTCCATGGAGAAAGATAGCATTGTTTGTAACATTTGCATCACAGTTAATCATCATTTGATATTTTTTACTATTACCTGTTAGCCACAACAGACATGCAGATCTGATAAGGAAAGTGTTCATCGTGTCAACTCTTTGTAATAAAGTGAGTGCTTCTATGAAGTACAGGCACAAGAGGGAGGAAGTGATGTCATCTATAAGGGAAATTGAAGGATCAGTCCTAAAGGTTGATTATACATTCGTCACTCAAACTAAAGTGTTTGACATGTACTTTTGCAGTAGAACAAGCTCTTTCTATATGCAGAATATGGAGTTTGCACTTTGCACATTTGAAATTGGTTGTGAACATTAAGTGTCATAATTTGTAACAGTAATTGTGTGTGTGTGTGTGTAATTCATTTGAACAGAACTCCCCTTTTACTGCCTTTAAAACACTTGGAATTTATGAAACATCACTGATAACTCAAACTGAAATATTGACAGGGACATAAAAATAAAACAGTTTCAAGGGGTTTGTAACAGAAAAGGTCTAACACAACAGGTTAGTATTTACAAACAGTTTTATTAGGTCACAGAGAGTACGGGTGTAGGATCCAGATGATGATGATGATGATGATGATGATGATGATGATGATATGGTGAGTGAATAGTTCATGGAACAGGTCAAAGGATATGATGAGTGGAATAATCAGAGTCTTTGTCTTTACAGGAGCTGGAATGCACACAGGAGGAGCACACACACCTCAGCGATCCGGGAACTAGGAAGAACACAGGAGGTAAGTAATGCAGGAAGTATGGAACTCAGACATTAAGGCAGGGTCCAATATGTCGGTCCTAGGTACCCATGAGCGAAAATGCACCATGAAGTTCTGCAGATTTTGAATCACGGGGCTGGCCTGAGCCCAGATCGTTTCCACCTATTGCAACGCAGGTCCTGTTAGCAGGGAGATAATAAAGGCAATTTTTGAGGTGTCAGTGGGATATGATTGAGGTTGCATTTCAAATGAGATTACACTGGAGGAGGAATCCGTTGCACTCCTCCGCCGAGCCAGAGTAAGGCGCCAGTCGGGCCATGGGACTAGCGATGACGGTAGGCGAAGTGCTGGTTGGGATGGAGGAGGTGATGGGTGGTGATGGTGATGGTGGATTACGTAGAACTTGTCGTAGTGAGTCTACAAGCTCCTGGACCGTATCGGAGTGACTCATCTGTGCCGTCGGTGTTGGTCCGGTCTTCTGTAACAGAAGAGGTCTGATGCAACAGGTTAATATTTACAAACACTTTTATTAGGTCACAGAGAGTACAGGTGTAGGATCCAGATGATGATATGGGGAGTGAATAGTTCATGGAACAGGTCAAAGGATATGATGAGTGGAATAATCAGAGTCTTTGTCTGTACAGGAGCTGGAATGCACACAGGAGGAGCATACACCTCAGCGATCCGGGAACTAGGAGGAACAGGAGACACTTGGAGGAACACAGGAGGTAAGTAATGCAGGAAGTATTCAAATGGAAGCAATCGCAAAGTCATTGAGTCCTCTACGTGTATACAAGACCAGACAATGAGGGTGTCTGAGGTGTGTGCTTTTATGCAGGCTGGTTAATGAGGTGCTTGATTAGTGACAGGTGCAGGTGCTCAGAACTCAGGTGAGAGGGATCATTGTGATTGGGTGGTGGTGGAGCCTGGCCGATCTGTTACAGGGTTTTTCTTTTATGGAGACTATTTTAATACATTGGCCATAATGTAGCAAGTTTTGCAACAAAACATAATGAACATAATTGTATTTTGACTAAATATGTGTGTTTATGACCTGATATGCAGAATATAAGAATACTTTAATACTTTCCGTACCCACTGTATATATATATATATATATATATATATATATATATATATATATATATATATATATATATTAGATATGTTTTAAGTTGTTTTGTCAAAACAATTAATATGCTAATACATCTATGTGCTTATTCATATGACTCGTCTAACATTGTTGCACTTCAAAACCCACAGGTGTGAGGAGGAACATAAATATGCGTTTTACTGAATTAAGCCATTTTTGTATCAGGGGTGATTCTGATCACTGTGTAATATGCTGCAGAGAAATACACTGCACTGTCAGTCAGCGTGAGGTTGCTGATAAGCAGATTGCCTTTATCTCTTCCATCTCCCTCCAGTTTGATCTTGTTTAAAAATTCAGGCTCACTGGTTTCAACCTTAAAATAAAGGTTTCCCATCAGCTTGAAGCCCAACACGTCTTGACTTTGTTTGTACCATAGTATTCGTTCATAGCTCTGTATCTTGTGAGTACAAGTGATCACAGCAGATTCATCTTGATTCTTCAAGAGGTCATCAGGCATCTGGAGAACAGATTTACCAAGACAGGCAACTGTGGAAGAAAAAAAAAACAGATGTGTATAGTAACATTTAGAATAAAACAATCTGTATGATGTTATTTTAGTGCATATTTGTTTAATACCTGTAAACATCATTAGTAACACAGATACTCTATTGAATATGTTAATCATGGTTTCTTTCATCAAGTGCTTCTGCTTTGAATTAAAAGCACCAGCGGGAGGAAGCTATATTGGGCCCTAACTGGTAAAACCTGGGAGAAAAGAGGAATAAAATGGGGAAAAGAATATTTAAACTGCACATGAGTTGTGTATAAATATCAAAACTGATATGCAACTCAGACTGTGCATGCTTTTGATTTACAGAAGGTGGGCAGTCATAATGATTCCTCATCATTCATTAAAATCTCTTATGCAAACAGCTTTTTTTTGGTTTTGTATTGTAGGTGGGCAGAAAATTTCTTGAATCACACTGCCACCTGTTGATCAATGCTTACTTCTAATTTTAAGACACCTGTTTTTTGTACAGCTCTCCCCTGAGTTTGATACACTGTGTATTCACTTAATGAACATAAATATGTGGCACTATCATTCGGCTGGAAATTGTTCACAGTCAGAGATCCACTCTCAGCAACCGTTTTATTGGCCACAAATTTATCCAGCTCAGAATCTCCATATTCTGGTTTGGTGTAAGAGGTTGTGAATGCTATGAGTCTCATAGTTTGTCCTTGGTGCTGTCTGAACCAGTACATTTGTCTGTATGTTGAGCCCTTATTGTGTGTGCAGTTCATGTGAACAGAACAGATTGTTCACAGTCAGAGATCCACTCTCTGGAACAGTTTCAATGACTGAAAACTTGTTTGGATCAAAATCACAATATTCTGGTTTGGTGTAAGTGCTTGTGAACACGATTAAAGTCATAGTTTGTCCTGGGCGCTGTTGATACCAGTACATCTGGACAAACAAGAATCCTTTTTATGTGTGCAGTTCAGTTGAACAGAACTCCCTTTTACTGCCATTAAAACACTTGGAACTTGTGAAACATCATTGATGCCTGCAAATTGAAATATAGAGAAGAAAACTAAGATATTTATGTATTAATCTGAACTTTTGGTTTCTAATATAGTTTAATTTATATTGTCTGTCATGGAGATTGAGTTTGAATACCTTGGCTCCAATGTAGCAACAGGATGAACAGAATAATGCTCCTCATCGTGTCACGTTGAGGCTGGATGGGTTAAATCATGATCTGTGATGATAAACATTTTAGTTGGCAGTACAGGATGTGACATCATTATCATGCATGAGCAAAATGTTTAATTCAAAAATTGCCTACAAGTGACTGAATGTTAAAGTGAAATTGAAGTGGGAAGGACAGGGTGAGGACACACAATGGCGAAATTATTAGTGCAACAAAACAGTTTTTAGTTTTACAACAAAGTAATTACAGAATTATTTTAGACTAAATATGTTTTTTTTTTTCTTTTTTTTTTTCTTTTTGCTTCATTATTTGCTACATTTGTTAGACCTATTGTGTTCAGTGTTGGCCTTGAATCAAAACCCACAGGTGTGTAGAGAAATAAATATGCCTTTCACAGAAGTAAGCCGGTTAAAAGTGGTTTTTGTATCAGACAGAGGTGATTCTGAGCACTGTGTAATATGCTGCACAGAAATACACTGCACTGTCAGTCAGTGTGAGGTTGCTGATGATCAGAGTGCCATCATTTCTCCCATCTCCATCCAATTTGATCTTCTTGTCAAATTCAGGCTCTTTATTCTCAGCATCATAATTAAGATATCCCATCAACTTTAAGCCCAACATGTCTGGACTTTGTTTGTACCATAATATTTGGTAATAGCTTGGTATCTTGTGAGAGCACATGATCACAGCAGATTCATCTTGATTCTTGATGAGGTTGTCAGGCGTCTGGAGAACAGTTTTACCAAGACAGGCAGCTGTGGAGAAAACAAAAACAGTGTATACCAGTGTAAAACAGGATATATCCATGTATGGAATGCAGATTTGTTTGTTGTTATTACCTGTAAATATCATTATGCATACAGATGCACTGAGGAATGTGTTCATCTTGATTTCTTTCTCCAAGTGCTTCTGCTGTGCATTAATGACATGAGTGAGAGGAAGTGATGTCAGCTATATCTCAGCTATTCTCAACTTGGGGGGAAAATGCATCTATAAATTTTTTAGTTTTTTTTAACCTCCAATTGTAGATAAACAATTGAATTATACACACCAAGAAACATTTATGTTACTGTATCTTAATTCAGTAGTTGGTAAATGTTGGCAGGAAGTAAAGCCACCTCCATCTGGATGTGATACAGATCTTGGTTTCGTTTAATTTCAGAAGAACTTTTTAATTAAATCCTTTATAATTATAATTAAAATCTTCTACAAACTGAGGTCAAAGTCAACATCCTTTTCTGTGGTTATCAGCTATCAGCTGTCTATAGACTGACATAAATTCCACCTGGGAATATTCCTTATCGGTTCGGCTTACACCTGTATCAACGGTTCTTATACAGTACAGTGCATTGGTTATACCAGACTGCCACCTGTTGACTAATGCTGATCTTTTTATGCAATAGTGTTTTTATACAGCACTCTCCAGCCTTTGACACACCTCACACAGCCTTTGAATGTTCAATCACTGCATAGAAATATAGGGCACTGTCATCTGGCTCTATATCCTTTACAGTTTTTAGGATCACTTTTTTGCATTCCAAATTTGTTTTTATCAACAGCTCCAAATACTGGCTCTCTATAAGCATTAGTGATTAGTATGAGATTCTCTCCTGGACGCTGTTTGTACCAGTACATCCAACGTGATCTCATGATAATTCGTATGTATTTTACGTAAAATTTGGTTCTATAAAACGTACATTTACGTACGTTTTTACAGGCACTAAAATGTACAATAGTGACGTATTTTCAGCCTCTAAACATACAAGTACTTACGTATTTTTAGCATTTAAAAGTACAAAACTGACGTATTGACGACACCTAAAAATGAATCCTTATGAATATTGAAATCGCGGCATTAATTTTATTAGGTTTTAGTTGTCATATGAATTAGTCAAGTCAGGTCAAGTCACCTTTATTTATATAGCACTTTTAACAATACAGATTGTGTCAAAGCAACTGAACAGCATTAATTAGGAAAATAGTGTCAATAATGCAAAATGACAATAGAAAACACACATTTTTCAGTTAAAGGCAGTTCATCATTGAATTCAGTGATGTCATCATCCAGCTCAGTTCAGTTTAAATAATATCTTTGCAATCAAGTCAACGATATCGCTGGAAATGAAGTGTCCCCAACTAAGCAAGCCAGAGGCGACAGCGGCAAGGAACCAAAACTCCATCGGTGACAGAATGGAGAAAAAACCTTGGGAGAAACCAGGCTCAGTCGGGGGGCCAGTTCTCCTCTGGCCAGACAAAACCAGCAGTTCAATTCCAGGCTGCAGCAAAGTCACATTGTGCAGAGGAATCACAGTTCCTGTGGTCTTGTCACGGTGGCCGTCTAGGAGATAAGGTCTTTACTGGGGATTTGTTTCTGGGGCTCATCTAGTTGTCCTGGTCTCTGCTGTCTTTTAGGGCTGTAGAAGTCCTCTCTAGGTGCTGATCCACCATCTGGTCTGAATACGTACTGGATCTGGGTGACTGCAGTGACCATCTGATCTGGATACAGACTGGATCTGGTGGCAACGGTGACCTCGGAATAAGAGAGAATCAGACTAATATTAGCATAGATGCCATTCTTCTAACAATGTAGCAAGTACATCGGGTGTTAATGGAAGTGTTCCCGGTTCCAGTTGTCCTAATTAATGCAGCCTAACAATCCTTTAATGGATTTGAATATTAGAAACGTATTAGTGTGTTATGTGTAAGCCAGGTTAAAGAGATGGGTCTTTAATCTTAAGTCTTTAATTACCTTGTTTTCAATTGCATTATTAAATTGTTTACTCATTTACTTATGAAATGATAACATTTCGTTTTGTTGTGATTTCTGCTGCCAGGTCGTTTCCAAGAATATGCCTACATAATGTTAAACACGACTTCACTTTAAACCTTAAAATAAATAACATTTCTGCAATTGTTTAACATTTACTTGTCATGTAATGTTTACTTTGCCATGGGCCACAAAAGGTGTTTTCTCCGACATGCTGTGACTGACAATAGAACTATAAAATACACCAAAAACGCAACTTAATTACGAAATGAAAATCTTTTTGACCAAATCTTCCGAATTCATAGGACTGCGAAGAACAGACCCAAATCCAAGCCTTTTTTGGCAATCTGCTTGCTTCTCCATCCCGAGCAGCGAGTCTAGTGACCGTGAGCAGCAAAGCCCGCGCTGACTGATGCGCTCTTTACAAATTCAAATGTTGCCGCTTCAAACGACAGGTTTTACGGCAGGGTTATCAAAAGCTCATTGGCTCTCGCCTGCATTCGTCACAGATTGCGACATGCCGTGTTTCTGTGTTTGAATGATGCGCGCGTGCCTTCACGAGTTCACGGAGTGGATCGGGAAAATTATCTGGATAATATTTTCAGCGATTATCAACACAAATTCTGCTCTGGATCACACAAACCTACTGTATTCCGCCAGAGAGGACTGCGGCTGCAACGCATCGTCATTTGGATTACTTTTGGTACTGCTTTTGACATTTTTGCAATAAATAAATGATTGTATTGCATTTATCTGTCTGTCATGTTTTTCTTATACTTTACATAAATATTTAGGTTTATAGGTAGGAGTGGAATTAGCGTCTATAAAAATATTTTAATGCTATATTGTTACTAAAATGGTTATTTTCCTGCATATTTCGGTCATTTGCGTTTTATATTTGCTATATAGGTAGGTTAAGGTTTGGGGGTAGGTTAAAGGGTCTAAAAATCAAAATTGCGTATTAATAAAATGATAAAAATGCATTGATACGAATATCTTGATGATATAAAAGGTATTTTTAAGTTTTAAAATATTTTTACGTTTTTTAGCTAAAAATACGTAGCGATTTGTACGTTTTAAACATTGAAATACGTCTAAATTGTACGTTTTAGCATGAATAAAAACGTACAAAAGTGTATGTTTTGTGCTTGCAAATGTTACGTATTAATACCTACGGATAACCATGAGACCAGGCTGGTACATCAGATAGTAGGTAGCACCCTTATTTTGTATGCAGTTCATAACTGCAGAACTCATTTTGCTTTCCAAAGAATAGGTTCTTGTACAACATCACTCCAACCTACAGTGCCTGTGAATATTAAAAGAAAAACATACATAAATGAAGCATACATACAAAAACATAAGTTTTAAAGGGTTGTTGTATTTCAGTTGCTACAGAGATAATTTTAGCACATTTTGGAGACCTTGGCTGCAGCACAGTAACAGAATCAGTGAAATAAAGATTGTAATCATGTTCAGTTCTAATGCAGCACTGACTGAGTCCCAAACTTGGTCATTCAAACTCTTCTGTTATACAGGATGTGACATCATAGGTTATACAGTCCTTTTACCGTGAATGTTGACTAGAGAGAAATATAAATGTGTAAACTCTGTGTAAAGAGTGTAAAGCTGTGCTCCAATAATTCAATACAAAGTTTTAGCAAGACACTATGTTTTTTTGTTTGTTTGTTTGTTTTTGGGTTTTTTTTTTTTTGTAGTATCATATTTGATACATCAGGCTTTTATGTCGCATACACTGTAGGATGAAACTGTAGAAAGGAAAAGTATCTCAGTTTTATTCAAAGGCACAAACTGAGTGTCACGAATCCTGTCCATGGACTTCCGTTCAATCACCACCAGAGGTCACCCTTTCATTACATTGACTCTCGCACAACACAAACTGTTGCATGTCATCCCGGACTACATATCCCATCAACCATTGCACTGATTGCACACAGCTGTCATCAATCACACATTCACTATATAACACTCACTCAAACAACCATTCTCTGCCGAGTATTGTTTAGCCTGTACCCTGTCCAAGTCGTTGTGTTTCCTTGCCTTCTTGTTTTTGACCTTGGACTGTTTATTGGATTGCTCTTCTGTCTCGCTCTGTTGGATTCCGTTTGCCATCGACTGACCCTCGCTAGTTTACCGGATTGCCCTTGCCTTGTCTTCTCCATGCCTGTTTCTGACCACGCCTGTGAATAAAGCTTGCACATGGATCCGCACGTCTTGTCTGCCCCGTAACACTGAGCATGAATATGCAACTTGATGCAGCTGCTGATATTTATATGGCCAAAAATTAAGATGAAATATTATAATAGCTTGTGATGAAATTCAGTGAGATCTTTATAACAGCAAAGCAGAAATAAAATGCAGATGTTACTCTATATCTCCCAATAATATGTCTCAGTAAGATGATATTTAATACAGTATATTAAATGTGTATTAGAGAAACATACATTCACAGCCATGCTGTTCTAATTAAGATTACTGAACTATATCACTGTAAATAAATGTAAATATATTTTATGAAATGAATATTGTTTAAATCACAGTTTTTAGTATTGATATTTAGACCACATGACTGCTACCATCACAGAAGGATACAAATATTAGCGGGAAATTTAACCAAGCCCTTGAGCAGGTGCAAAGAGCTGCTGTGGTTAATTGTGCAGCACTGGTGCTTTCAGAGCTTTTTGTATTGTGGCATGACTGCTCATCACACTGTGTAGACCAACTTCAAGTTGGAGGATTTTTAAAGAACCATTCTTGGTTCCATCTCTGTCCAAGTGGACTTTTTTTATTGAGATTATCCTCTGGGTAAGAATTCTTATTCCAGATATATCCAAGGAATATGAAGTCACGGCCGAGTGTTTGTTTGTACCAGAAGATCATAGTGTAAGATGGTATGCTGTGTGCGCATACAAGTTCTGCAGTGTCTCTCTCAGATTTAATTAGATTTGAGGAGCTTTGATTAGCACTGCCATTAACAACAGAACCTGTAAAAAGAAATAAAAAGCACATTATACTTAATTGTAAGTAGTGGTCGACCGATATATTGCCAAGGCCAATATATCGGCCAATATTTGGTATTTTTTAAATATCGG